TATGAACTTAGTGTATCTTTAGCTGGATAAAAAAATCCACCCAGGATATCATTAATGCCTTCTGTCTCTGAGTCATTTAAGATATCAGCAGTAGAAAAACTTTTTATTAAAAACAAATAATGGTTTGATCTTTTTCCAGAATAAACCACAAAAATTTAACAACCTCAAAATCTTTTAAACCATTCATAGTTCAAGAACATCAATTTAATCTGGCAGTTGCTTTGTCTCAAACATTCTTACACACCAAAAGACATGGCTTGCAGAAATGTTTTAAATAGACGTTTTCCCGCTACCATTCCCAATCGACTGTTATCCCTTCATATCATTCAGTTCTGAAATAAAGAAATAATGCCTTCAAGATGAGGGAAAGCCTTAGTGCTTTTAGGTTAGGAAAATCATATCTACACTATACAAACCAAAAGCACCAAATCCAGGTGAAGATGGCAGATTTTATCTACGCTTGTATCTACACCAAATCTTTTCCAATCTGTTATTCTTCTTGTATGTTAGGAATCATGATGAAGAATGACAGGAATTGCACTCTGAACAGTAACATGCTAAGGAAGGATCATTTATAACAACATTGAAGATTGAATAATTAGGTGGAAGGAATCTAAAGAGGAACAATGTGCAAGAACAGGAGACAGCCATAATTATTTTGATGACTAGGAAAACAGAACATCAAATGTGATATTGATTTCTACAAGAACTATATTCCAAGTTCTTTATTTAGTCTCTGCTATTATTCTCATAGACCCGTGATGGAGAACCTATGGCACGCGTGCCACAGGTGGCATGCAGTGCCATATTGGTGGGCACGTGATCCAGCCAGCAGATTTTTGGACCTTCTGGGCCCACTGGAAGTCAAGAAACATGCTGTTTCTGGCCTCTGGAGGGCCTCCAGGGGTGTGGGGAAGGCCTTTTTCACCCTCCCCAGGTTCCTAGAAAGGCTCTGGAGCCTGGGGAGAGTGAAAAATGGGCCTACCGGGCCCACAGTGCCATTGCGTGCCAAAAGCGGGGGGAGTGCAGGGGGGTCGTGTGCGCATGCATGGGGGCAGAGCGCGTAGAATTAAGAGTGTGGGCACACACACGTGCGACCCCCTGCACTCCCCCCACTTTTGGCACGCGATGGCAAAAAGGTTAGCCATTACTGTCATAGACACTATAGACCGTGGGTGTCAAACTCGCTGCATCACGTTGCCGTCACATGACGTTTCGTGACTTTTTCCCATTTGAGGAACTGGGGTGGGGGTGGCCTGTACATGACACATCCAGCCCGCGGGCTGCCAGTTTGACACCCCTGCTATAGACTGAACATTTTGTGCTTTCAGAACCAATGTTTTGGGCAGAAGATAGATTTAATGGATGATTCCCATATCCATTGTAATATACAGGTAGTCTTCAATTTACAACAATTCACTTAGTGACCATTCAAAGTTACAATGGCACTGGAAAAGGTGACTTATGACCATTTTTCACACTTATGACCATTGCAGCATTCCCATGGTCACATGATCAAAATTCAGCCGCTTGGCAACTGACTCATATTTATGATAGTTGTAGTGTCCTGAGGTTACATGATCACCTTTTATAACCTTAAGACAAGCAAAGCCAATGGGGAAGCAAGATTCACTTAACAATGGTCTTACTAATTGAACAACTGCAGTGATTCACTTCATAAGAAAGTGAATCAAAAAGGTCGTAAAATGGGGCAAACCTCACTTAGCAAAGGTCTCACTTAGCAACAGAAATTTTGAGCGCAATTATGGTCGTAAGTTGAGGACTGCCTGTACATTCTGATGAAATAAATTCTGAGAAGTTGACATTGATATGAACCAGCAAAAATAATTCTATTACAGTAGGGTAAAAGAAGCCTCTCCATAGATCAGGGCTAACAATCTGTGCTGTGAGATCCACAGGCTACTTTCAATATGTGGATGAGCCCAGAGTTAAATCTGGAGGTTTAGAGAAGAGAAAAAGACTGAGGGAAAAACTCAAAGTACAGAAAAGAAAACATGATCCCCACACAGCAACTAGTTCTGATGTCTGGCATGAATTATTTCTTCTTCCCTTAAGAATTACCTCTATATGAGAAAGAAGAGGGAGATAAGACAAGGAAATGGGCAGAGAGAGTTGTAAAAAAAAGAGGAGGGGGGAGAAAGAGGGACATACTTTCAACTCTGGTCTATCTATTTTTGGTTTCAGCCTTGTCAATCTCTGAAATGCAGAAAAAGTTTTCCTCTCACTATCCAAGATTTAGGGCTTTTCTCAAACCAAAACAATCAAAGATAACAAAGATGTCAAATTCACTCTGAACCCAAATATATTTGCCTGCTTTGTATTCTGTGCACAGCACTATAAGTAATCAGTTTGGAGGCAGTGAATTGGTAACATTAGAAAATTTAGAAATCAATATGTTAATAACCAACTTATGTTCAAGAGAAGCACAATAACCACAGAAAAGAATGCAGAATTCAAAAAGCACTTTCATATCAGTACTTATTTCCAAGGAAAAAAAAACTGTTTTAACTACCAAAGGATTTATAACCACATTTATAGAATAGAAGATGGAGGAACAGCAGGAAAGGAGATATATAGGTGAAATCTTCTCTTACTTCCATCTGTATGCCAACTTTTTGTATCCAAATTTCCCAGCACATTCTGTGTTTCCCCAAAAATAAGACTCTGCCTTATATTTTTTTGAACCCTGAAATGAGCGCTTGGCCTTATTACCATGCACTCAAAAGCCCAACTGGGCTTATTATCAGGGGATGTCTTATTTGGGGGGAAACAGGGTAGCTATCCACAACAATATATCTCAAAACGGGTGCGTGGCAAATGCTAGTCAACTGATAAACATTTCACTGAAGTACAAGCACAATCAGAATGATTTGCTGTAATACACAACCTATGGTGTTGAGAAGTATGTATTCAAAATGGCATCAATGTGAATTTCTTTTAAGAATGTGCATTGGTTCTCTTCTTAGCAGCACTCAAAGCTGAGCTCTAGATCCTGCAAGCAGCAACTCAACACTGGGACAGGCAACAAAGAAGAATCCTGTCATAAAAACTGAGCAAACTGTCAGTGGTCAGACAGTAACTAAGAACAAACCCAGTTCTGTAGGTTCTCAGGGGAGGTTCTTGATTTGGACTAAGATGTGTTGATTACAAAAAAGGGTATTTCCCATCTTTAAATGTTTAAACAGCTGCAGATTTTTGATGGATCTCCTTTTTGCCATGAGACTCTATCACACAGAGGCAAGAAATAGGGGAGGGGAAAAGGCTAAGGTTGAGATATTTTCTTTTCTTTCCAATCTCCTTTCAGAGTGTGAAACAGGTGGGTAAACTTTACTGGCATTCATGTGAGTGTGGTTTTATTTAAAAGGGAGTGGGAGGGTGGAAGAGTAAAGTTGCCTTTATTGTTGAACAAAATCCAAGAGTAGTTTAGGACCACACAGGGAGTTTGGGTTGTGCAGAGGGAGGAGGTGGGGAACGCCAAAGATCGCTGACAGTCATCACAGAGAAACATCTGCTCTTGGAAAGCTCCCAGGCTGCTTGCACACACAAAAAAAGTATAAATAAATAAATAAGTCCCAGGGTGCGAAAATTCAGCACAACCTGGAGTTGGAAAGGAGAAGATTGCAAGGGAGTGGATGGAAGGGAAAGAACAGGGTGAAATAGCAACAATTTTAAAAGAGTTAGCATGCTGGACTTCCTAAAACATAATTTTTAAAATCAAATTAAGATGTGTTCCTGGATGATGCCATTGTTTTGGGCTGACTGCATTTAACCTGAATTCATTTTCAGTTGCCAGAGAGTGTGAACCAAACCCAAGTGCAACTGACAGCTTGGTTGCAGGTTGTAATTATTCACTCCTTCAGTATCACCCTCAAAAAGATAATTCAGTGTTCGAATATCAATAATGTAATGAACCAAATAGGAAGCGGTGGCAAGAAAAACCATATCTGAGGGGAGAATATCGATTTAATTATACTTGTATTTTTGGAGGAATGCATTTTCACTGATACGAAATCTGGATTGCACACACTTACAATGAGACAATGTGCACAGGCACACACATGCAGAATAGCAATGAAAGGTTTATACACAAACATACACTCCTATGAACAAGTCTGGCACAGGAGTCAAACTGTCTCTTTTTTAAAAAGCCATTAAATCTTTGGCTTGTGGGTAAGATATGCATCCTAAAACTTGTGGCTTTAAGTCATAGGGTTTTTTAACAGTTTAATTTAAATGTGACTGAACAAACCTGAGATTAAAGAGAAATTTCCTGGCCTAGGCACAAGGTCAGTCTAGAGAATAACCACAATTTCATTCTTATCAGAAAATGGCCTGAAGAATAACTAAAACTCCTTTGCTTAAAATATCTAGGTGTGCCTCTGCATGATACTTCATATGCCAGACTAGCAACTTGGAAGTTTCTCAAAGAGAAAGTAAAATGTAATAAATAAATAAGTAAACAAGTAAATAAGTAAACATCAAAACCTGTGATTTCTCAAAACTTCAGAAACTGTTCCTAATATGTTGCATCTCATTACTAAAACCTTCAAAACAGATACTTTCTGGATACCTTTTATCCACACAATCTCTAGAACAGTCTTAAGTGACAAAACAAACAAAACTGAAGTAAAACCCTTATTTATTTTTTACTTTGAAGTTGCCTATAATTCCATGAGAACTGCCATAAAACACAGAAAGCCTGTATTCCATACTTTTACAACATCTGCTATCAATGTTTATCTGTTGTAATGCAAAGAAATGTCCTAAAATTATTTTGTTCTATAGAAAAGTAAAAAATATTGAAGCAAAGTTTTTACTAGTTTACATACATACTACACCAGGTCACAATTCCTTTTCATCTGGCTGGTACCAAAACTAAATTTTCTTCCAATGTGTTTGACAACTTTTATCTCACTCCTAACACACTCCATGCTACATGTAGTCCTCCTAGCAGTCACGTCAACCAGGAAGAAACTTACCTTCCACCCAGAGCTGTTCAATGTCAGTCTCGATGGAGGCTACTCGCAGCCCTACTGCCAGTGCCCCAAAGACCAGCAGCCCCACAAAAAGCACTTTGCCACAATGACGCTGGATCCAGCAGCCCAGTGTAAACAACAGAGCCTGGAACTGGGCCCGCAGCCACAGTGGGGCTTTCTGGCCAACAGCCTTACCCTGGGGAGAAAAACTGAAAGTTAGCCAAAATGATTTCCTTACATGGAACATCCTGTTTGAGGATTAGCTAGCACTGGGGTTAAGGAAGATTTACTATCTTTAAGTAAAGCATTCCTGTGAAATCCTACTCACAGATCTGGGGCCATAGATGTTACCTATAGTCATCTGTTAGGGTCTCAATTGAATCTATCCTTGCTGATTCTTCCCTTCTAGTTTGAAGATATGAGTTTGAGTTTGTTCAGCCTTCCTTTGCCTTGTGCAGTTCCAGATGCGTTGGACTGTACTCCATAATCTTCACACACTGTATTTAAGGTTGTGTTGGCTGAAAATGATGGCTTTATAGTCTAACACACCTGAAGGATGCAAAATTTTAGAAAGGCTGCTGCACTTGTGACCGATGCTTCTAGATATGGGTCCATCTACACTTATACTTTGGGCAGCTACTATGCAAAAAAAATGAGAAGTCACTGTAAAGTTTACAGTTAAGACTTGGTGGGGTTGTCCCACCCAGATAATGGCTTAGAGAAGGAATCTCACCTTCTCTTTCTCCTGAACACAGCTCTTAACTGAAGCGCCTTGTTTGGTGTCTGTAGCCTCATTGCAGCTAGAAGGTCAAGGATCTGGTCAACTTGACTCCCAGATACTCTCCAGGGAAAGAGGGGAGAAGAAGAGGTGTAAGCTTTTTCTCCCCATTTGTCAGCTGCATCTTTTTGTCTTATCTCACTCCCTCATCCTCTTCCACCCTCCTCTCTGTTAGCTCCCTTGGTCCTCCCCAGTGTTTCTTCCGAACCGTGGTAGACTTCTCTTTCCACATGGCTAGGGGAAATCCATCCTCCTCCTCCTCACACTCAAGCGGCTGGGTCCTCCTGTTCCTAACCCCTGTGCATCCTCTCAGGCATATTTTCTGGAGTAGGCCTTTCCTGGCTCCCCATTTAGGAACAGCCCCCCCCCCCCCGCCGCCCCCGCCTCTTTCAAGAAAGAAGCTTCTGGGACCCCAGAGCAGACTGTCTCAGGAGCACGCATGCGAGAGCCGGCCCCCTCTTTTCATCTCCCACCCCAAACAAGCCGAGGGACTCCCGGAGGATCCACCACCACGCAGTCCCCGCGCCCACGAGAGCTGCCTCACCCCTTTGCAACTGCTCCCGGAGAGAAGGAACCCCCCAGTTTTTCCCCACTCGTCTCCTCCCCATCCGTGGGAAAGCGCCGCCGTCCCGCGTCCTTACCTTGGAGATCTGCTTGAGGGCAAAGGCTGCGTGGCAATAGCTGGGTCTCCGCAGGAGATCGGAGTTGGCAGCAGCTGCGTAAGACGCCGGGAGCTCTCCAAAGAAGCCCCCGCTCCCGGGGACCGGCTGACCCGAAGCCATGGCGCGGGGTCGAACGAGGACGGTGCAGACGAGAAGCGAGGGAGCTCCGGCGGCTTCCCAAGAGCGGTAATCCACGAGAGAAAAGTGCGGGGTCCGAGGCTTCAGAATGGCTTCTGCGGGGATCCCATGCGAACATTATGGGGGCGAATCCGGGGCCATCCAGGCGCACCCCAGGCGCCCTTGGCGCCGCCCAGCGTGGCCCTTCGACGCGCGGCGGGAGACCGGGGGGAGCGAGCGCTCACACAGCCTCCGAGAGCGAGAGGAGAGGCGCTCGGGTGCCCGGCGGTGCAGTGCGCCTCGGAACCCGTCCCACCAACATTTGGAACAAACAGCCTCCTTCGAGATCCTGAAAAGAGGAAAGGGGGGGAGGAAGGTTTGGTTTGATGGGAAAGTGCTCCAGTTCCCATTGGCCGAGGAAGAGGCAAATTACTCCGCAAACATCTCCTATTATTAGCTGCTAAGCAACAGCTCACCAAAGTGGAGAGAGAAGAGACCACCCAGGCAGCGCCTCCCCCGCCTCCCTCCTCCCCGCCTCAAATCAATGAGGGAGGAGGGAGGGAGGGAGGGAGCCTTGCCTTCCACACAGGAATTCTGCTCCACAGATTTTCAAATACTGCCCGTTGTCCCTTCCCAGCTCCCCCATCCCACCCCACCCCACCCCAATCCAAACGAGCTCCTTTATTTGTAATTGCAAGCGGACGTTCGGATACATCGAGACAGCTGCAAACTTGCGGAAGGGGGGGGGGTGGCCGCAGGCGAGGAACTCTGGAGCAGGAAAGGGAAAAAAAATAATAATAAAGGAATAAAACTTTTAGTTTTAGGAAAGGGGAGCTTGATCGATTTCAGGAAAAGTAATAGGTGAATCCAAATTGGAATGAATGCCAACAGGACATAACAAGAGAAAGAATAGAGTGGGGACTAGAGGGAATGTTTTAAGTAAGTGACAAAATACAGCGCAAATGTCCTGGGCTTACATCAGGAGTTGTGCAGTATCTATAAGCAAAAAGAAGGGTTTAATCATGTATATAGAGCGTTGTGATTTCCCTACAGAGAAAAGCGCTTTCTCTAAACCCTATGGGCCCAGAGAAGGAGTGAGTCAACAGGGATGGATATGAAATTTCCAAAGGAAGTTGAGTCCCATCATCTGTCCCTTAGAACCTAAAGTCATTCTGCATGTATGAGATCATTATCCCTAAATTTTTAAAGGGAAAATACAGACACTCCTTAACCCAATGCATTCAACAACTACCTTATTACTTTTGTCTCTTTCCCCCAAATGTTGACCGTTCCAAAATCAAACAGTATGCCAACGACCAATTTTCTAGCATATTGAGCAAGGACAATGACTCCGTTCTGGAAATGTGAAGAAATATCCTCTCTTCACCGGCCAAGGATTTCTGACCACTCATTTTGACCAATGTCCATTTGTCAAGAATGGAAACGAAATCTACAAAATGGAAATAAAATCTGATGGTGGTCGGAAGAGAGAAAAGCCAGGCTTCAAATTGTCTAGGGCTAGGCTGATGCCTCTAGATAAGCAGGAGGCCTCTTGCATTTTGTCTCAGATAGTTGTAGACATATTGCTCTTCAAGGAAAACCACATAACAGGCAGACAACATAAAACAGCAGTCACATTCAGAAGTAGCCCAAGGGCCCCCCCAAATTCTGCCTCTCATTCTGTTCCAATTCCATGTAGGAAAACTGACTGAACTAGCAGGTGACTTGTTCTTTTAGGATGGGGAATAGGGCAGCATTCTTCACCACATCTGAAGAGAGAAGACTTGCTTGGAGGCCTTGGCATACCAGCTCTCCCTCCGCCGCCTCCCTTCCTCTTTCAATCATGGGGCTATTGCTTGACTGGCTCGAGCAGGAAGCTAGAAGGAGCTTCCTCATCATCATTGATAAAACACAACCAGGCCATTTATCAACAAAAAAGAAGCAGGGAGGAGCCTTATGCCATCCTTGACTTCCCCATTCATACAATTTTCCTATAAAATGAAAGTAGTTTGACAAAATGCAAACTGCTTAATGCAGTGACCCTGTCATCCTCCCACAAGCGAACCTATCTAAAACAAACAAAGAGTAACTTGAAACTTACAGAAAAATAATTTCCCAATATTAAGACGGGATATGAATGAATCAGATGTAGAAGAGAAGACCAAAATAAGGCTTCTTACTGATTCAAAAGCAAGTGAGTAAAACACAAAATCCAGGTGGGGGGAGCTTCTATATGGACAGTCTTATGCTACTGATCAAAAGACATATCCTATTTTTTGCTGGAAAAGGGATGCAAGTAGAAGTCTGGACTGCCCCCCTCCCCCAGACAGGACAATTACAGGATAAAATTCTCTTCTGGGATGTGGTATAGGGTACAGGATACCTGGGTTCAAGTCCACTCACATACTTGAAATTTATTGATGATTTTGGATAAACTACTCTCTGTGGAACCTCCTATATCACAGTGCAAATGCAGGGGTGTCAAACTGGCGGCCTGCAGGCCAGATGCATCCCGCACAGGCCACACCCACCTCAGGGGAAAACATCACAAAACATCGCATGACAGCAACATGTTTGACACCCGTGGTGTAAAGGAAAAACTAAAGGAGACAGTGCTGTGTGCACTGCCTTAAGCTCCTAAAACAAAAGTAGGATGTACATTTAACACACAACAAGCCACATGAATAAGCCGCATGATTACTTACCAATGCTGTTTAGATTGCAGCAAGCATCATCTCTCCTTTCCCTACTGTAGTCAGTTAACAAGTAATGGGCCTTTAAAGGGGATATTTTCTCTCAGACTACAAGACAGTTATTATGTTTATATTTTTGTCAGGAAGCAGGAAGAACTGTGCAAGCGTCTAATAGATATTGATTTATATAGCTGCAGATCCTGAGCTGGATGAAAATGGGCCACCATGTAGGAAAGACCATTATGTGACCACCGTTCCCAAACGGTGGGTCTAGTTTCTTCAAAGAGATGTGAAGCAGTCTGAAGTATAGTCCCATGATTCTTTGAAGTAAAGCTCAATTTGGACAACCCAAACAGAACAGACTTGTATTTAGATACGTTTCAGCATCTTCCTTTGATGGGAAGGAAAGCTCTCTTTTCAGTAATACATCATGGTAGAATCATCACCACTTTCTTATTAGGCAATAGGACAAATACGGAAGATCGTGGGAAAATGGCACAGTGGAATATTTTGTGAACAGATCAAGTGAGAGAAGGGAAGTTCTTCAAAAGCAATCACACAGAATTCTGTAAAATCAATCAATCAATCAATTCAATTCAGTTTATTGCATTTATTATGTAAAATCCATTTCCTGAACAAATTTGATCGCTCATTTGAATGGAAACAATATTCACTATCTTTACATTTCTAGAGAGTAAGGAAGGTTACTTGAATAGAGATATGTAGTAATCATTACTTGGCACCAAGAGATGGAGCATTTTTAAAGTCCAGAACATGAAGTAACATTTGAAAGTGGTTCAACCTTCCTAACTCATTCAAAAGGAGGAGGAGGCATAGCACAATCATACTTGGAAGATTCTGTTATTATAGTCAATATAGCCTTCCTGTGGAATTGATTTCCTGGCCTGGTCTGCCTTGTATGGTTGACAATACCTCAGTATAAACAAGCTAAGTATTTTTTGTTTTTAGTTATTTTCATTTTTTTCCCTTTAGTCTCTGCTGCTACTCCCACAATAATGGTTTATGTCTTAACCATTAATAGCAAAAGTTTTTCATTTTTCATTTTTCATTTTCTGGGAAAAAATAATTTAATGGATCATCTAGTTTAATCCTGGACTAACTGTCTCCTTTATGTTTCCTTTAAAGTAGCCTTTGCCTCAGTAAGTTGCATAATGTGCTGAAGCTGGGTAAAAAGAGACTGGAGAGAAAAACAAATGGTTTTTTGTAATACAATAATCCACCTTTCATATAGATCATCAGTAATGAATTCATAGCCTGCCAAATATGATTGATGAACTGTAATTTTCAGCAGCTCTCATCTACTTGGCCAGGAGAGAGGGGGAAAAGTTGGAGGGTAATAGGTTCCCAATCCAGATACATTGCCCAGCCCATTCTTTTCTCTATTACACAGTGTTTTTCAGCCTTAACAACTTTAAGACATGTGGACTTCAACTCCCAGGATTCCCCAGCTGGCTGGGAAACCCCCGGAAGCTGAAGTCTACACTTCTATAAATTGCTAAGATTGAGAAACACTGTTTTACTACAATCAAGCACTGAAACAGCTTTTCCCAATAAGATGCCTTCCAGGTACCTAGACTCCAGTTCCTGTCATTCTCTTTCAACTTTGCAATAACTAGGATTGTTGAGATGTTTAGTCAGATACATTTGAAGGACATTGGCTTGGGAAAGAGGATTCTAAGGCATCAGAAAGTCAGCAAAAGTACTGTGATTTTAAGATTCCAGACTGTACTGGTCTCTATTAGTAAATTATTGTCTCCAACCTTTTCCTATGAGGCAAAGGGATACTGACGTAGTTAAAAGAGTCCAGCTAATGAGAACAAGTTCTCTGCCTAACATCCCACACATTCTGTCTGTTTATGAGTGTGCTGCAGCAGCTGCAGTGACAACCCCCACTCCATGCTGATTTAAACTTCCTCAGTGCTCAACTACCAGCTTGATCTGCTTCTAGGGAGCAATATAAGTAAGGTCCAGAGCAGAGATGGATTTCAGCAGGTTCTGACCAGTTCTGGAGAACTGGTAATGGAAATTTTGAGTAGTTCGGTGAACTGGTAGTAAAAATTCTGACTGGCCCCGCCCCATTTATTCTCTGCCTCCCAAGTCCCAGCTAATAGGGAGGAAATGGGGATTTTACAGTATCCTTCCCCTGCCACGCCCACCAGCCACGCCCACCAAGCCACACCCACAGAACTGGTAGTAAAAAAAATTGAAACCCACCACTGGTAAAATCCCTAGGTTTCCCCCACCTTAAAGTACCATCAGCTATTCGGGTGCAGAATGTGATGCCCTCCAAACTGTGTTGAACTACAATTCCCAGGATCCCTCACCATTGACCAGGCTGGGTCAGTCTATCAAAAGTTGTAGTCCAGCAACATCTTGGAAACTATATTTGCTCACTCCTATTTATTGGCTATTTGAAACTGCAGAGCTTTTTTTAAAATAAAAGTCTAAAAGGAAAACTCCAATATTTCTTTGTTTCTCAGGGTAATACTCCATTACCTCTAAAATGGTTTGCTTATGCTATAGTATGTTTGTTGGTCTTTGAAGTGCCACAAGACTCACTGTTTTTGCCACCTTCTAAAGAAGATTATGGACCCTGAAAACAATATTCTTGCAGAAATAAACTTTCATTTCCATCTGCTATACTGTCCATTCAGCATAGGTGTTCAACTAAGAGCTCATACATGAAGAAACTATTTATTTTTTTACCAGCTTTCCCCAGTTTATTTATTATTTATTTATTAGTCATATTTCTATGCCGTCCATT